AAATCGAGTTTCTTATATTAAAAATTGTTTATTTCATCATTATGGATGTCATGAGCCAGTTTTTCCAGGTATTCCCACCGGACTATATTGCATTCACGTTTAAGGCGATTATTCAAGTTTCTATACTTCTGCCATGGGTTTACTTCATTCTTATTTCTTGTCATTCTATACAGCGTTTTCTTCTTTTTACAGAGCTTAATAATCTCTGTTGTTATCCATGGAGGCTGACCATTTTTTCTTTTCCTCTTTTTCGGGATTGACTGATCGACTGCAGTTTAGAACAAGTCTGACCAAAGTGAAACATTCCATATTTTGTCAATATCATCGTAAATATAAGTACAGTTACAGAGAATGTTTATAAACAATTCGTTCAAAGAAGCCCAGTCGGCTTTACGAAAATTGTAAAATAATTTCTTGGAAACTTTGTGGCAGTATGGGAGAACATTTATGTTGAGAGTTACGACGCTATGATCTGATATTGGCTCGCCAACGGTCGTATCTTGTATAATATCTTTGTTATTAGTTAAAACCAGGTCTAGGATGTTTTGACTTCTAGTGGGATGAAGGACCATTTGACACAAGAAATTATCCAGAATAGTATCCGAAAAAATTTCATACATTTCAGAATTATTGAGCATAAGATTGTTCACCGCCTGGTTAGCTCAATTGGGAGAGCGCCGGACTGCCGTGCGGGAGGTCGAGAGTTCAATACCGGCCGGACCAACACTCAGGGTCTTAAAATTAACTGAGAAGAATATGCTTCCTTTCTCAACATCAAGAAATGGTTAGATATTCTAGTCTTCTCGGATAGGGACGAATAAATGGAGGTCCCGTCTCCTGCAGGGTTAGGGGTAGGAGACGTTAATTTCCCACGCACGAGATTACTGTGTGATGGATGTCCTCCCCTGGGGTGGGATGGGTGGGAAAAGGTGAGGTCGTTACATGGACTAAAGCGGCTGCCAGAGGCGCCTGATAATGCTGACGTCCGATCTCAACCTTAGTAAAAATTATTGTAAGCGCATTGAGATTCTTAAATGCGTATTAAGAACGTTCATTATTATTATTATTATTATTATTATTATTATTATTATATTACTACTCTTCAATATACGCGTCGCCCACAAACCCTATCACCACACTACGTCAGTTACTAACCAACGTTAAAGACAAAGACGAACCGAGGAACANTATTGCCTAAATAGCGCTATCTACTGCGAGGATCGTGCATCATACGTATCTAATACCGCAGTTCAAAATATATGATCTTCATATATTCATTGTATCTCAGAGTTGTAGGGTTAATCTAATCCAGACCAATCTTGCACGACTCGGGGTTAGTCAATAGTCCAGTTAAGAATATATTCTGTGAATTTAACTTCTACATCTCCTGACTTTGGCTAATTTATTTCCTAAAGATTGGCGTCCAGCACTTACCAACAGGTCCAACTTGTAGTTGTTGATTTTCAGCTCTATTGCTGATCAAATGAAAAACAAAAGAACCATTAGCCAATACATAAATGGCTAGCTTGATGACTTCGGTCAAATACCTGCCTAATCTTCGGAACATCTGGAAAGCCATGAGATGATCGAAAAGGGACGACCTGACATGAATCCAATTATTTGCGTCGTAAAAGCATGTCACGTTGGCGCATTTCTCGAAAACACTCTTTATCCCCTAGCGACATGATGCGATGCGGTTCTTTGGTTCACCAGACGATGCTTTCTCTTTGCATGGCGCTCCTTTTATTTTAGGTTTATCAACTGAGTTGATAATGTACATTAGAGTTACCAAATCTGGCGTTTCGAGCGTCGGCCCTTCGTCAGGGCGAATAACGAAGGGCTAACACTGGAAATGTCAGCTGAAGAAACTCTGCGCGGTGGCCGATTTACATATTCAAGGTAGCTGATGAAACAAAACTGTTTTGTAACACTTCCCAACGACGCATTACCAAGACTTATTTACAAATGTACTGTTCCTAATATGCCAGCGCCCCCTAAAATCTCCATGATATAGCTATTCATACTCACCCGCTTTAGATTAGTTTCCCGAGGTTGAAAAAGCCTTATTTTTCTGCTTTTTTTTTTTTTCGTTGTTGTTGTTTTTTTTTTTGCGCAGAATCATCCAAGCAAAAACATCTAATGAGATTTTCCGACTCGGGCACCGTTTACATAAGAGCTTTTCAAGGTTTCCTTGGATACCACCAAGAATGGCAAACATTTTACGCCAACATGACCCTAGATATGTTCTTAAAAAGTCGAATTGTATGACAAACTTTAGTCGATGCTTCATTCTCCTCTATTAACTTTGATTCTCGTAAAGCAATCTGTTCACAGTACAATGTAACATGCTTGTTCGTTTTTTTTTTATTTGTTTCATGCAAACCATGCTTCGCAGACTGGCAAAATACATTAATAATGAGCCCTCATCGGTTTAAAATGATGCTCTCTTGCTGAATGAGTTCCAAACATTTATTGCATGACTACCGATGACTAGGTGCTAATTTCTGAAAAAAACAACAAAAAAAACACTCACTTTGTTTTCAGACGTAACAGCCATAATAAAGATTTATAAAATAGAAAATACTACTTACTGAAACTGTTTTTTGTTAATGATACAACAATTCTTTAAATTCTTGTAAATTGCACACTGATTGAACTGGAAATTCGAGCGACAGTGTGGCTATGTCATCCTGAGAACACTTACGGAGGTTAGAAACAGTTCTCTACTGAAATCCCCTTTTCCTTCTGCTGAAGGAAACTCATCCTAGAAGAAGGGCCGGGGACAGGGCACCTGTAGAAAGTCTGTGTTGGAAGCAAGTTCAGTGCTTTTAACAAGATTTCAATTATGTGGCTACCTCGAGAAAGCACCCTCCAGAAAATAGTTAGTCAGAATAAACTGCCTTCAAACGAAGTTTTCGATGTTATAATTAGGTATGATCATGAATTTTAATATCCTTCGTTACAATTATTTTAACCGATCGTTGAATCAAAATCTACCGTTTGCCGACATATGCAAACCCGTCACCTGAGTTTCACACAAAAGTCCTCTGAAAGGGTATACGGTTACTGGTTACCGAAATTTGGGTCAGTATTTTCTTAGAAACTCAAAATTTATATATTTATTTAGTTTTTTTTTTTGCTGGAAATGACACTATAAATCAATTATATCAAAACTTTTTTTATAAAGGTGAAAGTCGACTGAATGAGCACTTGAAGATCTCGAGGTCTTTTAAGTCTCACTTCGTGAGTTTGCTTGAAGAATCGAGAATATTGGGGAACATCCAATATCGCATATCACTTTAACAACTTAAACAGGCAGTCTAAAAAACAATACAAGGTAAAATCCTGTTTGTATTCCCGCATGCTTATGTTTTCAAATTCAGACGCTACGATCCAAATCTTCCTTCGCCTGGCCAAGTCCTATTCGATTGTTTTTCATTTGAGTCACTTTTTTTATTCCAAACTACTTAAAGTATTTGCATTGTAACGCCATGACCTTCATCGTGATCCTCAGTTTTCTTCTGCTTGCAACTGGAAACAAACCACTTAGTCTCCCGCCTTGTTGCACAAAACCCATTTTTTGCGATCACAATTCTGGGAGAAATCGAAGATATGCGGAAGGGAATTTATTGGAAAAAGCCCCCGGTTATGTTTAAATAAGATATATGTATAAGATCATGATATTAAATCAATCAGCCAATGGATTTTAACTGCCCCCGCGGTTCGTGTTTTACACCAGATCGTGAACAATCGTCGAGCCGTGTCTTTGGACTCTCTCCAGAGCATAAATGTCCTTTTTCAAGTGCGGACTCCAAACTGGTGCACAATATTCAGGAATAGGACGAACCATAGATTTGTATAGCATGGAGAAGATCTTTGAGTTCTTAGTACCAACATTTCTCTTTAGAAATCCTAGGACAGCATTTGCTTTCTTTGAACATTTTTCAACTTGTAGTGACCATCAGTTACCGCTATAATATCACACTTTCTTGTAAGACCTTCTGCCTCAAGAATGGATGCCTTTTTTACCAAACTTCTGGCATTGAAGAAAGCAATTTTGAGACAATTTACAGGTCCAGGATTCGAAGAAATATCGCCACATAGTAAGAGCTTGGACACAAATGAAGTGCGAAGGCTAAACTCGTAACGGCGCCATCTTGTAAGAAAGACTTGAATGACTTTTGCTGTCGAAGTCCAGGGCGTACCATAAACCATCAAAGAACCGATTATTTTGTGAAATACTAGTTACACTAGTATTTAGAATAAAATTGACATGGTTATTTGTATTAAATGGCGAAGAACGCAGCCACAAAGTCAATAAAAGGGGCACACTTTGATAGAAGCGTCCAACCCATGAGTAACTCTATAATGCGGTCACGAACATCTTCGCAAACAAGTTCCAAATTTGATTTACGCAAGTTGTGGACAACCTGGCTGTTTTAACAATTCCATTTTCAAGTTTGATTTCTAACTAGCAGTTAAGAAAATGTTTGATAATTTTAGTTCGGCACAGAGTTGTTTGAAAATAATTTTCAATAACCGGCAATGTGTACGTCTGTTTCGCGCATGATAAACTTATGTAGAACATGCGTAACAAACACAAAAAGAAAACTGCCTGTGAAAGAGTGAATTTAACAAACAAAGACCACGGAATTTGGTAAAAAAAAACAACAACAACCACATCAACAAAACAAAAAAACAAAAAAAAAAAACAGAAAAACAAAACAAAAAGAAAGTTACTATTATTTTCTATGGTATTGCTGTTGTTGTTGATCTGTAAATTCGAACAGGCCGCGGCAAAGTATACCCAGCGATTCACAAAAGAATACCCGTCGGGTCTTATTGAAAGCACAGTAAAGGGTCAGCTCTAAAAATAAAAAATAAAAAAATCTCGAACAAATCAAAAGACGTCTGGAAGTAATCTCCATGTTTGGCGAGCTCTCTCAAATTTGGAACTGCCAAAGCCACATAACTTTTAGAAAGAAAACGTTTCCAAAATGTAACTTCCATCGTGAAAATTTCGATCTCATCTGACGTTTATTGATATACAATGTAAAACAACAGGTTAATATACATGTCCATAGAGTTACAAGAAAATCTTCGCTCCCTTGCAGTATTTCCGTCAACACTGGCGAGAGAAATAAACTGTTATTATTGATACTGTTCTTTCTGCTTCTTATAGTTGATTCAAGCTTTCTGCCAGAGACTGCTAACATCAAGAAACCTTCGGCTTTTTAGCAGCATTAATGTCAATAGACGAGGAGACAACTGGTCCCTGTACTCCAACTTTTGCTGGTGGAGTCGCAGTTTTCACAGAAGTTGCAGGAACTGCAGTCTGATCCCATTTGCTTTTTCTCTTCTTTGGTTCCTCTGCAATACCACACAGTTATAGGAAATCAACATCAAAAACAAGAACAAAGTCATAAAAAATGAGTAAATAAACTTTTCAACCCTAACATCAGAGAGCATACCCATCATTCTGCTCTCTACATATTTCCTAAGTGCCGACAAGCAGAATTTGTTTAACAATCAAGAGATTCTTAAGCTGGTGATCATTTCCTTTATTCTCCTGACCTCAGTTTGTGATCCAGGGGTGATATTGTAAGGAGAAATTACATGCTGGTCACTCTTAGAGGTCACTGGGTAAAGAAGATAGAGCTTCAACTAATGATTTGCTCCATAGCGTCAGAGAAACAAATTATATGTACATGTAATTTTCAAAGAATTCTGTCATATTCATGAACAAATTAATAAACCAAAAGTTGATGTACCTGTACCTGTACCTGCCTTTTTGGTACCGGACACAAATTCCACCTTAAGGAGGAAAACAAATGACTCATGAAAAGAGTAAATATATGTAACCCTCTACAGGTTTTCTTCTAACTAATGTCTACCCACCACATGCATAAAGAAGCACATTGCTAATCCACAGGAGAAGAGAGTCTTCACCTCTAAAAAGGGAACAACAACTACTTTAGGCATGATTTCCGCCACTCTCTCGGGTCCAGTCTTTTTCATCCCTGCCGGAGAAGAGAGTAGAGGAGCCCAGGCTCCAGTTCCCAAATAGCGGCTGGTAATCGAGCCTGAAACTACTCAGGCCATCACAACTTTGCTGAAGAATTCTACTAGGTATTTGTAGCTAGTTGCTTTGTTACTCCACGAAGTGACTAACATGACTAACTCCTCCCCATAAAATCTATACTTTATGTGACAAACAGGTAATGAGAATACTCAAACTTATCAGTGAGAAGTTGTCATCTTGAACCAACAACAAATTCTTGAAGCTAATTTACAAGGATTTTCGTAGCAGCTAGGGGCGAAATGTAGAACTACCGTACATAGCGATCAGACCTTGACAGTTAAAGGGTTAATCAACACCCTAGTTACAGGTGCTTGCCTGCGTTCTTGCTTGCTTTGCTTTTTCCTTTTCTTTTCTCTCATAAGCTTCTTTCTGAGCTTTGGCTAAAAAAAAACAACAACAACAACAAACATGTAACAAATAATTAGAGGGCAGAAGTTGACAAAGAACTGGTAAAATCACTGTACATTGGATCAAGACAACATACATAAATTTTCATAGTAAGACTCCTCCGGCCAACATGTTGGATCAAACAAACTCTGTTAACAAAAGAGAAAATATTATTTAATTTATGGTCAATTAAGTTGGAATACAACTATAAAATGAGGATGAGAAAGAAATCATCTATCTTGTTTCTATACACATGTTTGGGGTGACTCTGCATTTAATTTTCCATTCAACAAACACGTAGGCAACAGGTCTAACATCATCCAAGTTTTTTTTATTTTTATGGGAATATATACAATAACATTCAATCACTAAAAAAAAAACTGCATGACCTGCTCTGTATTTGCCTTCTTCCGAATTACAGGTGTACAAAAACATATTACAATAAGACAAAATGCCTACCTTTGGATAATTGCTACCAGTTTCATCAATGTTAAGATATTGCAAGAGCTTCTTATAAATACTGAAATTAAATCAAGACAAAAGCACATTGTATGACAAACAGGCCAGCGTTATCCATAACTATCACAAAGGATTCAGTATCACATGTTACTACTCACCTTGGGTTTCTATATTTTTTCCTGTTTTGTATATTTGTGTTCAAATCAAGATTTTCCTGGTGTGTCTTTTCTAAGAGTGTTTGAACCTTTTCCTGAGTAAATAATAAAATTAACTGAAGTAAATTTTCCTTCATGGCACTAGTATACAGTCCATGTTTATATCATGTCCACCGTGTCTCAATAAATGTTATAAACTCAGTTAGCTTTCTTGTTGAGAAAAAGGAACTCTATACCATTTCAAAGAGAAAATTAAAAGGAACTCTATACCTAAAAGGAACTCTATACCATTTCAAAGAGAAAATTAAAAACAAGTTAATCTGGAACTGTAAGTCTATTACAGTAACTTTTTTTTAACTGTCAAACACAGTGCCAGTTAATATAGGTTTGACTGTACTACATTTACCTGTAGAGAATTGGAACAGCGGCCAGTAGGCTCAGGTGGTAACTGTGGCATTTTGATCTCAGGTATAGAGTTTGATGTTTCTGTGACAAGGTCCTCAACTAACAAGTGTGAGAATCAAATTTAAGGACAGTCTTTCTTGGGTTTATTACAAATCAACTTAACAGCCTGCTCCCACTTGGCTTGTTAGCTCAATTGGTAGAGCGCTGCACTAGTATCGCAGAGGTCAGTGGTTCGAATGCCGTACAGGCCAGATTTTTTTCAGGTCTGATTTTCCCTATTGTTTAAATAGCGCTCTCTACTGTGAGGATCGTGCATCATACGTAAGTCTTAACATGAGTGCCAAAATCAATCCACTATCGGGCATTTGGGTTTTGATTTTCCATCCTCACTGATAGGCACAGATGACAAAAAGAGATTGATCACAAATTGTTTTTAAATACCCTCCTTTCTCCTACTCTATATCAGTCATAGATATTAACATTTTCCTCAGCACAAATTTTCTAATTATTTGGAAAAACATCTTTACATTTAGTGTTTTCTTTCAGGTGAAGACTTTTTAAATTGGGATGTGTATGGCTTACATAGCCCAATATTATCAAACCTACTAAATAAAAAAGCAAATGGTCAAAACATTTATTGGACAAATGGGATGCATGGGTCTTCACAATCAGAATCACATTTAAGGTCAAGGTTTTCACTACCAAACACTTGACAAAGAAGAGTTTAAAAAAATATAAAATAAGTGCTGAGAAGTTGCCAAGAAACCTAAGGGCTCACATGTATCTTAGAGGTAACTGTATAAAATCTTCTTCCTTTTTGAATTTCAAATTACATTTTCTCTCTTCCTCTCCCCATTTGCATTCTTTTTGTATTCATGCGTGGGGCACGTGATTTCACAAATTAGCCAATCACATCAAAGAACTCTAACCTTAACTTAAAAAACTGACATAGACATTTCTCGCATACCTTTGCTGTTTGTTTAACAGAGTTAGAGTTTACACTGTTGTAATTGCTGTTTTAAGCTTTTATTCACACAAATTTTCTCTTAGTTTGAAATTTTGAAAAGTTTCTGAGATTTTTTTTAGCCAACTGTTATGGTTCATTTAACAAGTTTAATACATATTTTCTACTGAGTTCAGACTCTAGTCTCTTTTTCAGTAAATTGATTTTTACAGTCACCTCTATGACTTGTACATTACAGGGTCTGACACTAATAATAGCCACCTAGCCACAGACTAGTATAAATTCAGTTTTGGTTAGTGGTTTTTAATTTCCACTAGCCAGTTTGGCTAGTAAACAAACTGAAATTGTTGTAACAACATCTAAGTTGTCACTAGCTACTTGACTAGTAAGTTGAAAACTTAGGGTCAAGCCTTGAATTATCAAATGAATAATAAAAATCATAGGGGAAACTGACGAGAATAACAAATTCTAACTGTTTGTTTGTTTTTTGAGTCGTTAATCTGAGATTTTTTTTAGTTTTTGCTGTTATCCTTTCTACAATGCACATACAAAAACTCACCTTTTTGATCTCCTTTTTCTTCTGATTGTACTTTTTCTGATGAGTCACTGATTGCCTGCAAGATGTTAACAACAAATTCCAATATTAGCAATCGTAAAAACAAACAAACAAGGCCTGTACATGTAGTTATTAAACAAATCACTATGTTCAGGAAAAAAAATAACTTGAACTTGTCACTTGTATAAAATTACCATCAGGGCATCTTGAGCAGGATTTTTCTCCTGAGAAGAATCTTCATCAGTCACATCTTTACTTATTACTACAGAGGTAAACAGAAACAAAAGTACTGAAATAATATAAAGAAAGATACTGTGCCTGCCAGATGGTACTAAAATACACACTAAATCAATCCAAACAAGAAGCAATCTAAAAATTAATAATCATATTAATTTTTTGATACCATTTTCATCACTAACAATCTCTTCAACAGTGCCTGGGTCTTTATCAATTTCCTAGGAAAATTAAAACAAAAGTTGATTAGCAGTGAAACATAAATTTAAAATTTTGTGTTCTACATGGTGCATCAAGAAAACAAAACTATAAAGGTATAATTTGAATGTATGTAATTGTAATGTACTTTAATGTATTGACTGAGTTTGATTGGGCCAGACAGGAAAATACTCTGCTCTTCATCATGATTGACAGACTGAGAGAACAAACAGTCTCTTTGTTTTAACTTTCTAATGAACTTAAGTGATGCAGGAGTCCTAAAAATAAACACACATACAATTATATCAGCTGTAACAGACCCCATTAGTAAGTGAAGCTTGAGTAACACACTAAGAGCTCGCTACAACAGTAACAAGCATACATACATTAAAAGATATGCAAAATGTTCCACAACATAAAGAGTATGTTCGTGCATGCATGTACAGTGCATAAACAAAACTTCTGACTCCTTCTTGAGCCAGTCAGGGGTCCTAAGGCTAAATGGACCACTTTACAAAAGTACATCAGTGAACTCTCAACAGACCATGTTGCACTCTGTTGATACGTCATAAACTCAAGCCAGACATTTTCTCATTTGGCCCTGCCACTCAGTCAATAAGTACATAATCTATCATAGCTGCTACTAAGATAATTATTTTTGGCTTCAACTTTATTGTATTTGGCAAACATATACAATTTTTTCTAAATTCAATCCTATGTTCTAAACAATTAGTCACACTTCTACATAATTCTCTCCCATAATACCTCATCTTTGGGCTCTTCCCCCTTTTCTTCTTCAAATTCATCATCATAAGAGACTAAACGAGCACCTAAACGACCAAAAAAAAAAAAAAAACATACAGGATTTAATTTTGGTTGATTTAATTTGTGTTATTCTGTCACTCTATAGAGTACAGTACGTGTATGTGCCACGTCGCTAGTGCACTCATGCATAGGTAACTCTGGTGTTGTTAAAATAGGCTGAAAAATTAACGGGACGTTCCACTTTTTCGGCCAAACCTTCTAATTGAAAACAAACTTCGGCACAAGACCTGTCGAAATATAATTATATATTTTTTTCAAGTTAAGAAAGCCGAGAAAATTTTGAACCCACAGACGCAAATTTACCAGGACTACGCCGAAAAGACAAAATTTAAATTCGATCTGGATATGTGTGCGCGTGTATATCACATGTGTTGACAAATTTTGACAAAAGCCTTCCCAATGGACTTACTTGTTTTTTTTTTTACTTGAGCAACCGAAGGTCTCACCACAACGATCGGCTTGTGTTTCGGCTCTACATCTTCATCAGAGTCTTCAATATCACTCTCACCAAGTCCATAATCTGCCAGGGAGTTTAAGGACCCTATTATCTGGTTATCCATGACGATTCTTAAAAGTGGGGATGCCGAAAAATGGAATCAGACTAAAGACACATCACTGATGGCCCAGCCGCCATCTTGAAATTCTTGAGCATGTCTATTATAGTGCGCCTGCTGAACATCTATCTGGCGCATGCAAGGCGAAATACGGGGTTAGCGTCGGTAGGGTAGGGGAGATGGGAAGGAAGCAGGGTAAGATCACGAAAGAATAGTAATGCACGCAGTTGCGGCTGACCTTTGTCCTTAGTTGAAAATGCATTTGATGCATGAAGCAGACTGGACCAGGGGTACATCACGCTATAACCGAAAGCTGTTATTCAAGCGAAGCCCAACGCAAAATTCACATGTACATTGTAAATTACTTCCTCAACAGCTGGGGAAGATATAGATTCAAAATAAACTGCTGGTGGCTCTCTTTTCTCTTAAATAAAAGTTATGAACAAGCAAAGGGCGTTTAACCTCTGGTAAAATAATATATATGCGTTATTAACCGAGCGTGAGGTCAAGATGACTGGATATTGGCCGAGATTTTTTTTTTTTTTTTCGCATTTTTGTTCTGGACCGAGACGAAGTCGAGGTCAATGAAAATGCAAGAAAATAACTTAGCCAAAATCCAGTCATCTTCACCTCACGCTCGATTAATAACGCATACATCTTGGATATGGAATTTAAAACTAAATGGAGATGATCAAAACTCTGAAGAAGAACAAAATTGTTATTTACAGTAAACACTCCATTTCTTTTTCGAGAAGGAAGTCTAATTTTGGTGCTGTGGCTGAACGTTCTTTTGTTTTGTTTTGTTTTGTTTTTTTCCCGCTATTTGAGCCTGAAAAAGTTCTTACATGTTCTTTAAGTTGTGTGGTATAGGATTTCAATAAATCAATTTAGACGTGACCAGGAAACCTTTAAACTGAGTTGTCAGTTTTCAGTGTAGTCCTGTTAGACCACGGTTTGGCATTTGCATCACCTTTTTTATACTTCTCATATAACAAACAAACCAACAAAACAAAAACAAATTGAGTAAAATAAAGACGTTCTAACTGACGCTCAGTCTTGGTATGTTCTAAGTATGCAGCCCATGTGTAGCCGTACCCTCCCTCGGGGAGAAACGGATTTGATTCTGCCTGGCGGGAGGGTAGGGCTACACGTACGTAGGCTGCGAAGTATGTTGAGGGCTCACACATGAAATCGAGACGATTAGATGGCGCCCCAGCCTGAAAAATGCACGGCATTCAGACAGACACGATAAAAATAGTTTGTGTTCTCCTCGTGTCAAACGCGATAATCATATATGGTAAAAATAAGAAATGATTTCCATGATGTCAAGGTTCACGTAACTGTATAAGTCTGATCGTCCCGTGATACTAGTTCCAAGACTCCTCCCTTCCGCTGAGTTCGAGGCTCTAGGTCGAGTGTAAATAAGAATACACAGGGGATGAAACGTAGTTAAGAAACGTAAACGTTTTCTGTCATAAGTAGTGTTGTGTCCCCCTAAACATCAGTAGAAAGGTGCTGCTTTGGTGAGTTTTATATCTACATTTGTTCAAAGGAACATAGACATGTCTGGAAGCGAAGAGAAAATTACGGTAGGTGCTAACATGCGATGAAGTTTTTTCGTTTTTCGCTACTCAAGAACATACAGGTGTGGGGGCCGGCTAATGTACTTCACACATAAAAATGAGCTTGAATATCGGAAAATGCTGAAATTTATTGAGTGTAAATGTCGGGTATATTCTTGAAATAATGATCTGTCTTGGGTTTTTCTGTCGGCGGTCACGAATATCGTTTGCCGATTAGCGTGAGAGTATAGAAATGTTCGAACTCTTGCAGTCTGCGATACTCGTTTTTAGTAAGATGCCTGATTGTGCTTCCCTTATTTGTTTGCTCGTCATCAAGTAAATTTTCAAGTGCATAAGTTACAGCTCTTTTCTTTTCGTCTATAAAAGTTATTTTATTAATATTTGCTTCGTCACTTTCTTTGATATTGCCTAATGCCTACGACCTTGAGTGACCTTGGTGTAGTTTTACTTCATAACCCATGATCTCTCCACGTAGAGTATTTTTCATTCCATCATAACAGGAATTACATAATTATGTTTTTCCGTGCAAAGTTCTTGATAAACATAATTTATGGTTGGAAAACCTAAACTGGTGAAATTTTGCTTTGCCATTAATTTTGATAAGTAAATTATTACTATGACCTTTTTAATTTTTGGTTATTATGTAATGTCAACAATAATACTGGGGTAATTTCTGTACTTGCATGTATCCTGGTTCCAATGTTCACAATATAAGGTTAAAGTCTTAGTAAGATCTTGAATAAATGTTGGTCACAGTCAGGAGACTGTGGCATGAAAAAAGTGTGCGGGAGACATGAAAAAAGTGTGCAGGAAACCCAAAAAAAAAAATGTGAGAGCTGTGTTTTAATTTGTTGAATTTAACAAGATTAACCCCAAATCTCTACAAGTTTAACCTGTTGGGTTAGTAGTGTCACAGATGTCTCGTTTGTTTTAATGATCGAGAACAAAGAGCCACAGAATTGCTAAGGTGAAGCTTGGTGTTCAGGTGAAGAGTTTTATTTCAATGAAATTCAAATTCTTTCAAGAAAGAGGGTAACTTTGGCAAAGTTCCACTAGGTTCAGGCTATTCCAGCAACTATGGAGCTTGCTCCCTGCAATGGGTGGCTAATATGATGAGTTTATGTGTCTATTACATACAGTCAGCTGTGAAAAAACTAAGAGATACCTACAGAAGTGGAAGGACAAGAGATGTGGAATTTAGAAGAGAACAGCTGAGGAATCTCCTTCGACTTATGGATGAGAATGAAGAGGAAATTTTGGAAGCTGTTGGCAAGGATTTGCATAAGGTTTGACTCCTCAGCTTTTACTATTTGATTGAACTTAGGTTCCTTGCATCAAATCATGACAAGACTAGTGTCTTAGATCAGATGCATTATAAGGGGCTAGTTATTGACGAGGAGGAAATGCATGGAAAAACACTTCTGTCTCTTTTTTTTGCCCTGTTTTTCACTTTTTTCCAAGGATAAACTTATACAGAAATTGACTTCCTCTCTATGAGCAGAGTGCTGAAATTTTACTGCTAGCCTCTCTCTGTGGGACTCAAAAATTAAGCTTTGCCTTTTTTTTTTTATGGTTTCCAAAAAGTTGCAGATAGCATCACCAGCAGAGGAAACATTACTTTTTTGCTCCTGTCATTTCTTGAAAACAAAAATGTCAACAAGGGAAAATAATTTTTCACCCTAATTTTAAACTGTGAAGTAAGCCAAGCTTTACAGGCCTCCACTTAAAGACTAGTCTCTGTACAGTGAGTTTTTCTCCTTCTTCTGGATGAAATGGGATACTAATTCATTACAGGAAACTCGTGTAATTTTTTGAGAATTCAATTTGCTAAACATTACCCAATAATTTTGTGTCTTGGTGAAAGGAGGGATACTTTGAGAGAAAACACTCTTTCCCAAGGACAGATGACAATGACCCAGCCAAGATTTGATTGTGGGCCTCTTGATCTGAAGTACGCTGCATTAAGTAGTACGCCAATGCCAGACCAAGCCCTTGTGGAGGGCAGTGTGGCTGAGATGTAAGGGTGCTGGCTGGACTAGTAATCTGGTGGTCTTGCATTCAAACCCTTGACTGTGCTACTCTCTGGTTTTGATCTTGTTGGCCCTGAGTTCAACTACTTGGCTACTCTTTGTGTATACATGTACCATGTAGCTAACTAGTCTACTTCTGGCCTGTTGGGGTTTTTAAACACACTATTTGTTTACAGTGTTTGTTTCTGGTTTGTTTGAATTGCCCTGAAAAGGTTCATTGGGGGAGTGGTCAATTACAGTTGTTAATATTGTTATAATTGTAATTTTTCCAATTTATTACCAATAAGTAATTGTTTTTGATAATTTATTGTCTTTTATAGCCAAGAACAGAGGCTACCCTTGCAGAGATTTTGGTAGTGAAGAATGACATTGCTTGTGGTAAGTTATCCAGTAACAAAGATATATAATGTATGTAGAGGTACTGGTACTGTTCAAATGGAGGGGGCTCACAGTGAATTAGTTCATAGATCAATAGGCCTGATATAATACCTTGTGAAGTACTCAGTAGTGGATTGCAGAGTGGCTGCAAAGTGTTAGAAAACCTGTATTTTGAAGTTTAGGTCATGGATCCTGAGTTCTCAATAATTCCCCATAATTGTATCTTAAAGTTTTTACTTTTCTAGCTTACAATCCAGCCTTTTACATCATTGTATATGTGGGCATTGTTGAGTACTTTTTGTTGTGGACAATTAAGAAGGTGTTCATTGCTCTTTAAATCCTGACTGTCCCTTTTTCCTGATGTTCCAAATTTTGACATTTGATAATCTTTCAGATGCTTTTGGCTTCATTCATGCTGTAATTTTTCAAATAGGAATATTTTTCCAAAGGCTGTAGATGCCTTTAGTTACACTGTACCTTACAGTGTAATTGTCTTCATAAAAATGATGAACAATTTACTCCTCAGTTGTCAAATTTGGTGGAGATAGTTGAATTGAAATGTCTACTTGGTATTTTGTATTAGTGGTTACAGAATATATTTGTACATATACATGTAACTACATATCATGAACTTTTCACATTGATAAGTGTCATATGTGGTAAATACTCATTGTCATTAAAATGCTTTGTGCAAAGAACTCTGTTAATGACATGCTAGGAATGTGGAATTTGCATAATTTAAGTTAAAATAGCTTTGTGTACGTCTTTTGTGTTTGGCCGTCTGCATAGCTTATTTATTCACTTTTGTTTGCCACTCTTATACTTGTATCTATGTAGGAATCAGGTTTTTAATAACTTGTGGTTAATTCTTTCAGCACTGAATCACTTGTCTGACTGGACAAAACCTGAACCACTTGAAGTTCCTTTGGTCCACAAAATGGATTCCTGTTTTACTGTTAGTGAACCTCTAGGGTTGGCACTAATCATTGGAGCTTGGAATTACCCAATACAGCTGTGTATCATGCCCCTTGTTGGGGCCATTGCTGCTGGTGAGGCATAGTAACTATTAATAAATACAGTGTTGTTAATTTGATTAAGAGTTGCATTATCTTTTTTTTTTTTTGGTGTGTCTTATTGATTTATAAGTGTTTGCAGTGGACTAGTGGTTAGGCTGCTGAGATGTGTCATTGTGTCATGTTCTTGGGCAAGAGACTTTACTCTTAAAATGCCTCCCTTCAGGTTGGATGTACTGTTAAGTGGCTGGCAATAAATCACATGGGAAGCCTTAAAAATACTGGGGTTCACCTATCGTAGACTACCATCCCGTCAAAGGAAATTGCAATGATCCTTGTGGCTTCTTGACAGGGAAACCTGGATAAACTGTGTTCAAAGATCCCCAAAGATTTTGTTAAAGGTGTTTGTCAAGATCCTCAGTAGGATCCTTAAGAGTCCCTGTGAAGATCTTTTAGGATCTTCAAGGACCCTTAAACAGTTTTCATGGGCAGACGTAACTTTACTTGTTTGTAATGTGCAGCATACTATATGATCATTGTATTCTCTTGAGTTGTCATACTTTTTGTTAGCATCAGACCACTGTTGGTAATCTAGAGTATTATTTTATCTGGCTCCTGTTGATTCATTAGCTTAGATTTAACTACTAGACTAATGTGTGTGTTTATAAATGTCTTTTAATAGGAAACTGTGCTGTCATCAAACCATCTGAAATTGCAGAGGCATCAGCAGAACTTGTTTCCAAACTCATTCCTAAATATCTGGACCAGGTAAAGTGTGTAGTGTTCTAAAACCATCATAACTTTTCTGTCATAACTTTTAATTTAAAAAAAATGCAGTTTATTTACAATTCTGTGGAGGCTTCTGTTAAAGTTAGCAAATTAAGAAGAACAGTGACCTTAACTGGTCAGGATTGAGGCTGTTAGGTTTTGCATACGAGAGAAGTTAAGAGTGGACTCTAAGAGGGCAAGAACCCCGGCCTGTCCATCCACAAAATACAATCTATCGTATTTAGTAAAATCAGTAAAATTGTGAGACTGTGTAGATTGTACATAATAACCAATCTCTTAAATTTTTCTTTCTGAACATGTAATTACAGTCATTGTTAATACTATGTGCCTGTCATAAATTACTCAGGATTGCTTTGCTGTCATCAACGGAGGAGTAGTAGAAACTCAGTGTTTTCTGAACAATTGCAAGTTTGACAAGATATTTTACACGGGTGGACATGCTGTGGGAAAGTTGGTCATGCAAGCTGCTGCAAAGAATTTGGCAAGACTAACTCTTGAACTGGGTGGGAAAAGGTATTTATGGGACTTACATCGACCCTTTACAGTCTAACATCAATCTGCTTATTCTCCATACTGTTCTACATACATTTCCTAAGATGCTGACATGAGAAGACACACAGGGCCTGCACTGTAAGTATCTCGCAGAGCTCTATACAATTCCTTATAATAAAATTATAAGGAATTGTATGAAGCTCTCCGGGATACCTACAGTGCAAGCCCTGTGTGTCTTCTCATGAAGGAGAAGTAATTTTGTGTAACAGTCAAGAGCTTATTTACTTTTGTGACCCTAATGTGTGATTCAGGGGTAATAATTATGATGAGAAATACAATCCCTGCAACTCTGGATGAAGATTTATGTAAAAAGTAGTCGTGTTGGACTAATAATTATGAGGTGTGAGCAAGGCATTTGTTTGATGGACTTGTTATTAAAGTTCAGTCTTTGAGGCAGAGATTGGGATTCAGGCCCTGAGGGTTTCATTGGGATGTGTTCATTGGAAATACTAATTCAAATCTAGAAAATTCAAACAAAAAGGTATGCATAAGACATACAATGCAAGTATGTAAATTTAACAAACAAATTGACAGAAAATTGAAAGGGAAAGATCTCAAAAAGGTAGCAAGGAGTTTAACTTGACCAGAATCAGGTTAACAGGATTCTAATGTGGCTGAAATACACAATCTGCTAGGGAGTATTTTGATAATCGATAGTAATAAAATTATATTGATAGGCTGCAATTAAATTGTTCTACTCTAGCCCATGTTATATAGACAAGGACAGTGACCTTGAGATTGCTGTCAAGAGAATATGCTGGGGAAAGTTTTCAAATGCTGGACAGGTGAGCTGTAACCATACGATTGTGGAAAATTTTGATAATTTGACGGATGATAATTTTGATATACATGAAGCTCAATGTTTAAAATTTTCAATTTTAAATTTTTTTTCTGCAATTCCTTTAGAGTTTCTGTTTCTGTTTCTGTAGACATGTGTAGCCCCAGACTACATTCTGTGTCACCCAGACATCCAAGAAGCGCTTATCAAACAATTCAAGGAAGCACTGTTTGATTTCTATGGAGAGGTAGGACGTAAATATAGGAAGTGAAGTGCATGATGTTAACTACAAAGCTGGAACAGAATTAAGTATTAAGATTAAAGCCTTTAACTGTAGTTCTACTGGGCAGGGTAATGTTCAAAGCTGAGTGAAGATCACCCAATGTTAATATGAAGCCTAATTTCAGATCTCAAAACTTTAGAAGAAAAATTCAGCCATATTTCTTTTTGCCTATAATTGAATGATTGGATGCTCTTAAAAAGAATAGAAAAAACAATCCCCTCCCCCCAAAAAAGGCTTTTGAACAAAGGAATAAAGAAACCCAGATTAAAATTTGATTGTGGTTAGTGCTAATTGACCTTTAAACGACTGGGTCTTGTAGAGGGATTTTATGATACGTTTTCATGGTGTACTGATTTTGTTTATTTGATTTCCTTTTTTTATTCTTTATCAAGGATCCAAAAGAATCACCAGACTATGCACGGATTGTGAATAACAGGCACTTCAAGTAAGACCCCTGAATCATCAAGCACTCTACATGACCAACATTTTTTCTGTGCCATTGGTCTACAGTACGTGTAAGTCACAGGCTACCCAAGCTCATGAGCAGATCGGCACATGAAACTGGTAAAATTGAAATTCAAAGATATATCGCGTTGTTCTAGGATTTTTATACTATGCAAATGGTTACAAGAGCTTGGGTAGCCTGTGGTGTTGTCAACGTAAGAGAAGACAAAAAAAGCTGATTAGAAGCTACCAAATGTAAGCTGAAACAACAAGCTGTCTTAGTGAACATCATCTGCAATGAAAACTACTACCTAGATGAGTAATAGCTTCTATCCAACCTGTCAACATCCGTAATCACCATTAGATTTTCAGTTACAACAAAATGGATCCAATTGCCTGAGCATTAATTTACAGTTAGAAAGCATCACTTGTTTCGGAAGAAGAAGGAAGATCTTTCGCCTGAGACATACATGTAAATTATGGATACAAATGTCTTTGTTGACATAACTTTATTGTGTTATAATCCAATGACACTACATGTAAAAGAAGAAAACAAATGGAAAATACCTCTGATGAAGCAGTGCCTATATGAATGATCGTTAAACGAATTACTACAGTTAGTCTCTACTTGATACCCGTCAAACAATAATAATTATACGTGTGATGCAAAATATATGAACTTCAATAATAATTATGTCAATTATTTCCTGTGTACAGTCGTTTAAAGAGCTTGATGAGCAGTGCCGGTAAATGTGCAGTAGGAGGTGAAACAGATGAGAGCGAAAACTATATCTCGCCAACTATAATGACTGGTGTGAAACCTACAGACCCGATTATGGAAAATGAGGTGCAGTGCAGTTTGGTTAGCAGGACTGAGTGGAGTCCAATTCGGTTTGTAATCATACAAGTGATTACAAAATAGGACGACTGCCAAGCGCGAGTCTGAATTGTCAATCCCGAGTGTGAATTACAGACCGAATTGGATGACACAAACTCTTATTAACACTGATGAATTGAAAATAACCATTACAATTTCTAATAAAAGACAAATACATTTATTCGAGAAACTGTCTTCAGTAGATATTCCATACAAGGCTCTAAGAACGAGGAAGATGATCAGTCTCTAAATAGGGCTACTTATCCGTTATACCCTAACATCAGTATTCCTATTCTCCATACTGTTCTCTATACATTTCCTAAGGTTCTGACGAGGAGAATTTGCGTAACAATCAAGAGCTTCTTTGGTCTGTGATCAGTGAATGTATTCTCATAATCTTTGTTTGATTCAAGGGTGATATTGTAAGGAGAAATTAGATGCTAGTCACTGTAAAGAGTCAATGGATTAAAATGTCTAAAGTTGTAGTCTCATAGTGTTAAAAGCAGAGACTAACAGTTAGTTTTTGATAACAGTGTTCAAGGAACAGTCAATCCACCCCCCCCCCTCCCCCTTTCCTGATTGGAAATTATATTCTACAAACCTGTTGTCATTTCAGTGTCAGTCGTGGCAACCATTGTGCGCATGTGTCAGTTATCTTACTTTAGAACATAGCTAGCAGAACCGCGCAATCAAATTCAATATACGTACGCGTGCTTAAAATCCCGATAGTGCACGCTGATAGCGTCAGCAAATTGCCTCGCCAGAAGTTTTTTTTTTCGCGCGAGCGGCCATTGTTAGCGCGGGGAAAAATAATATATTTCGCGACAATAATGGATACAAACAGAGACTCGGCCTACTTGTCCGAAAACAAAGACAATGTTTCGACCTTTTCCCTTGGGCTAGAGTTCTTAAATGAGGTAGAAAAAGAGAAAACAACGGAAAAGGAGACTCGGCATCAGCGCCGTCACGATTCGCTTCAACTAATGTTGTCCGATTTTCACGTCGGATTTACGCTTCTTTCGTGCTCTCCAAACTTCCCGCGTGCTCCATAACTCGATAGTGCACGCTAAAGCATGAACCAATTGTTAATTATGGTTTATTTGTTTTGTAGATATTTGGTCCACTGTTGCCGATAATAGATATCGAATCTTTTGAAGACGCCATAGAATTCATAAATGACAGGTAATCTTGTAAAAGTCATCATTTTAATTGCATTTACAGTTATTTACATGCACATTAACAAATGTGCATGCCCAATCTCTGGCAGAGTGCAGACTCGGTGATAGATACTGTAAGTAAAATTGACCGCATGATAATAGAAGAAGTAACACCATGGTAGAATAGTGGTAAAGAAACCCATAACGGTTTGGGCTTGTGAGAGAGTAGAGGCCTGTCTCTCGAAAGTCCCCATGGTTACTGGTATTAGAAAGGTGTTTTTTTTTTTTTTGTTTCCTTTGGTTACATGCATGATCGAGCTATTGAAAGTAATCAAACTTTAACAATAAAATTTTATTGTTTTGTAGCACTACTACTCCCTAATGGCTGTGGGCCAGTGAAGTAAGCGGGACTTTCGACAGATAGGCCCTGGGACTCCTGGCCGATTGTCTGAGAATTGAAATACGAGGCCATAATTTTTATCGTAACAGTAACTTAGGCTTTTATATGTGGTTTGCTTGGTTTTCCGCTCTCTATCATTGTCATTACTCCAAGTTTCCATTATATAGCTGGAAACTGTTGACAAAAAGCCACCTTATGGATGGGTATCGCCTGACTAGATATTTTTTTTCCCAATCTTTGTTAGTGTGTAGAGACAGGCCGTTGGCCCTGTACATCTTTGCTAATGACAAGTCCAAGATTCAGCGCTTCATGAACAATACATCCTCGGGAGGATTTCTTGCGAATGATACTGTGGTACATGCCGCAGGTAAGCAGAAGCTCAGTTTTCTAGTTTTGTTTAGCCTACAATGATGTATCCCTCTTAAGTGATTATGATTGGCCGATGTTTAATTCATGCACTAAAATAACAACCTATCGGAGTACATTCGATGCTTTATTTGTAATCAATCATACATTTTTTTTTTTTATAACGATTTCTTCCGTATGTCTTAGATGTAAACACACTCATAGGGTGGCCCGCCTGTGCTGTTAACATTGCGCCATCCCTGCTTCTCACCTTTATCCAATGTACAATCATCCTCTCCTTATCTTCTAATGGTTCGGGACTGATCTAAATCTTTCTTTCACCTCCTGGTAGTTGAATCGCTTCCATTTGGCGGTGTGGGTGAGAGTGGAATGGGAAACTATCATGGCAAGAATTCGTTCGATACGTTTTCGCACAAGAAGGGCTGTGTCATCAAGAAACAAGCCATGGAGTCGTTCAATAGGTAATATTTTTTTTTTCTTTTTACATATTCTTCGCAGTTTTAGCAATGACCAAAGAGGAGGAACAGAATTAGCATGTAATTAACAGTTCAAGTGCAAGTGTATTGTTATTCCTATCAGTTATTAATATTATTATTACTATTACTATTATTACTATTATTATTTATACATTGCAGTAATGACAGTTAAAATGTGCTCTGACTTTCGGCTAAATACCTTCATGTACAGTGTAATTACTTCGTTATAAACATGACGTTGGTAAAGATCCATTAAACATCAAACAGAATCTGCAAAAAGTGACGTTTTTACGTTCAATGTACTGCTCAAGGCTAACATTTGATTCGTCAGATTTCCTATTTCTCAGCAGTAGTTGTGCACTCACTCGTATGTCATTTTTTCTTGTAGCATACGTTACCCACCATACGAGGAAAAACGCCTTGCGTGGATCCGTTGGCTGATTGAAGCCAAAGAACAATCGTACGAGAAGCTATCGGACATAGCACCTCTCTTGTTCTCCATTCCTCTCGCTATGGTTCACAAGGTTGGTATCATTGTGAACGAGTTAGGAGATTCGTATTATATTATGCAGTAACCAAACCAGCTTTAAGTGGAAGTTGAAGGGATCGCTCTTTTTCGAGAACACTTACAGGAGAGTAGTGTCTTGCGTGTAAAAAGAGCTCCTGAATTATAAAATGAGAGATATACGTATGTCGACAATGGTAGCGCGTCAAGGGGCTTTCTCGTCCCTTTCTGTCACTGGACTCCAGCAAGCACACAACGTAGAGCATGTAGCATACATGACCGCTTTTAGCGAGCGCATGAGCTGTTCTTTCCTAAGAAGCTGCAATCCTTTTGGCCAATGCCATAAATTATCAAACACTAATATACCTGACATGATTGGGTAATAAAACAAACAACAACAAAAAACTAAACACAATCGAAGAAGAGTTTCTGTGCAGCCTCAGACAAATCGACTATTGCCTTGTGATCGGTGACACCCACAAACGAGATTAAAAACTTCGATCATACACTGCTCACACACGAGATTAAAAACTTCGATCATACACCGCTCACACACGTGCCGATGACAATTGCATCTGGTATATAGAGGAGACAGTTTTTGCACTTAACCATTTAATTAACTCCCAAGAACTGATTGTCGATTTTCCTCTCCAGCTGTTACATATTTTCTAGTAAATTAGTTACAAGATCAAGATAACATTACTTTCTGATAAGTTTGAGTATTCTTATTATCTGTTTGCTGGATAATGTACGGATAGTATTGTGAGAAGTTACACTTTAATCACTTTTGGGAGTTTAAGGGTCAAATGACCCGGCCAGGGGTCTCTGAGTGACTTTAAATAATAAAATTAAACTCGCCGCAGCTCTTCTTATTATTTCTTGCCAAAGCATAATGCGATTTTGGATTAAATTTATCAAACGGTAAACACCACAGCGTACACTATTGAGTTATGGATGCACGCGGGAGGTTGCTAAGCACGAAAGAAGCGTAAGAGTCGCTCGAGGCGATAGCCGAGAGCGACTCTAGCTTCTTGAGTGCTTAGCAAACCTCCCAAGTGCATCCATAACTCAATAGTGTACGCTGTGGTGTTTACCATTTGTTTTATAACATAACATTGATACATTGTAGCTAAAGAGTTCCCTTTTATTTAACAAATCTTACGTGACCAGAAAAAACAAGCGCGCGCGGAAAAATAGTCTTTGCATTTGCTCACGTCAGCAGCGTACACCCATGGGCAAATGGGGGACGCTAAATTGACCAATCAGAGCGCGCGCTTTACTTTGGTTATGTTATAATTAAACGCATCGCCTTGCTTTGGTTCAAGTGTATGGATATTTCTTGTTTGTTTCCTCAGGTCATTGGACTACCGAGATATTTCTTGAAGTAGACGAATTGTGTGGACGTACACTTGTGGACGTTTGAACAGCTTATTATAATTTTGTTTGTTTTTAGTCAAGGACAAAACGTATCTTGTTTACTTAGTATGAAAAGAAAGAATATATACCACAAAAGGACAATGAGACTTTTTCTCCGACGAGCTGTTCTCATAATCTCTTTGACTTCCGCAGGCAGGAAATAGGAACATGGAATACGGAAAAAAATAATATGAAATTGTGTGTATCAGTGGAGAGGAAAATAATAAAGTGCATCCCCGCCCTGTAGCATACTGCAAAGGTATAAGCTTTGTGAAAGTGCAGGGCTTTGTCCCTCCTAAACGATGTCTGTGTCTATTTGCTTGAGTAACTGTATACTCTATGCATGCTTGTCTTCATCGATTCAGAAATTCTGGATCTTTTTCAAGGAGAACAGCTCTGATCCCCTCAAAGTGTGCGTTGGCGTAATAGTCCAGCTCCTCAATGGTTTGATCGTAAGTTAACTTACTAATGTCCTCAGGCAACTCGCGCAGCTTCTTTCCAGTTTGCATCGCAATCATCTGCAAAGTGTTAAAGGAAATTGAACTCAGGCCTCATACCTTTTTCCCTTCTCCTTGCCCTCACATACATCTCAATCCCTTTTTTTCCTTCTCATTCTATCGCTATTTTTCCTTGCCTATTAACTCCCATTAAATTTCCTTTCTGCTAACTTCATCCTTTTCTTCATTTTTCCTTGCATCTTCCCTCCCTTCCTTCCCCTCCCTTCATATTTCCATGTCTCAAATACCACCCTCATTTCTCTTCATCTCATTTCCTCTCCTTGTCATTCTCACCCTCCCCCCCTCCTCTGTTTTGCAGAAATCCGTTTCCCTCCCTTCATTCCATTTTATCATTCCTTTCCCTTCCTTTGTTAAGAATTACACCGAGATTTATACCTGCATCATGCAAGCTCTCTCCATAAAGTAGGCTTGATCAAATGCAATAGCGGCCGTTGATCCAGTGAATAATACACCATGATTTCCCATAAACAGAACAGATTTTTTTCCTATCAGTTTAGCCAGACGCTCTCCTTCTTTGCTGCTGGTGGCTACCCCTTCATAATTTGTATCATAGACAAAGTCATTGTAGAAGCGACAGTGGGTTTGGTGAAACATGCCAAAGACTTTTTCCTCCAGCATAACTGAAAGCCAATTAAAAAAGCTGTTGATGAAAACACTGGGAAGGCGTTTTTTTTTTTTTTTTTGCCATACCTCCCCTGCTCTGCTAAAATATCTTAAAGATTGAAAATCTCAAGGTGTAGAAGGTAACAGTCTAGTTCAAACTAACTGTTGTTTGGGTAGGAAGGAAATTAAAGTTGTACCTAAGAGAGCAGCAAACTTTAAACTTAAAACAGTCAAAGTCCTGAAAAGTTGCAACGTTTATTAAATCTCGAAAAATGGAAATTGAACAAGTTTTACATTACTATTTCATTATTTGGAAAATTTGCCCTGACTAGAAAAATTAGTATTTCAACATAGTATGTATTTAATACATAAGTGGCAGAAAAAACCTTAATTGACAAGCCACTTTACTGAAGCATCACAATTAACAGAAGCAATTAACAATGTCACTGACCAACTGACAAGTGAACATTCAAATGAACGAAATAGGGCAAATGAGTGAACAAAACGACCAAATTAAAAAATGAAGGAATAGATGAATGAAAGATTGACTGAATAAAAAAAAATTGTGGCAAATGTATCCTTAGCTATTAACCACCTTTCTGAGAAACTGTCCCTGACCCTAAGAAGTAACATTCTGTTCCCTGTGGATACTTAACCCTTTATCTATATCAGCCTCACTTTAAAAAAAGGTTTTAGTCTGACTTGCTTTGACAGTATTCTTTAAAAACGCCCAGTAGAGTAACAAACAAGGAATCAGTCATTACTTCATGATCAGCAACTGCGCACCCACCCCACCCCTCCCATAACAGAACAACAGACGACTGATAACAAGTTAGGGGGTAGGGGAGGGGTTGGTTGATCCCAAACATGTACATGAAACTTACCTAGAGCCGTGGTGTATGGAGAGTGAAGATGGAAAACACACACAGCATCTGGCCGGGCATTGTGAAGACCGATATGGATTGCGTTAGACTCTTTCTGCACATGACCATTGCCTTCCACCAGCTCGCCCTTATTACTGACACCAAGCAAGGATGATGGGGTTGCCTGCACGTAGTATGACTTGTTTAGTTTATGACAAATTGAAAATACCAGAAAATGCAAGGATTGTTTACTCTCCCGTAAGCGGACACTCTCGTCGACAGGCGCGAATACATTGGAGTTTTCTTTTGTCTAGGCTCTCTCGTAAGCAGACACGCCATGGATAATAATTGACTCTTGGGAATAAGATTTGTCTTAAATTCGATGTACTAAGATCTTGATGACCTTTGAAAAAGCAAAAGAACGATGAAGATGTTTTTTTTTTTCCAAATCTGCATTTTTCCATGAGAAAGCACGCTACCCGTTTGTTTGACATTATCAAGAGTCAGATATGACACTTTCCCGTAAGCGGACTTCCATCCTATTTTTCTTTGGTGCCCGTTTATGGGAATAATTCTTACAAGCACAAAGTTCTGCCAAAACGCACACTCAGTTTACCAATTCCTGAGGGTGTCCACTTACCAGAGAGTTAACTGTATAAAGAAGTTAAACCAGTAAAATAAGGGATTAGTTATTGAAGCATTAGAGAGATTTAGCACCGCATTTACGTGAAACGCCAAACGTCAGCTTGCCCAATCACGTTTCAGATAAAAACGCGAGAACCTTGCTCCTTTAGCCTGGTGTGAACTCACGTTATGGTGGATTTGAAGGCGCCCTTAATTGACTTACGAAGAATAGTTTAGGTGCCCTTCTTCCGGCAATTAACTTCTACTCTGTGAGAGAAAAAAGTGGGAGAAAGCTAACGTACACGGCAAACGCGAAACAGGTTACTTTCACGTAGAAAAGGCAAAGCGCAACCGGCAAACGTGAAAAAATGGCGGGAAAAACAATGTCAGGAGGTCAATCTTGCCGTTTACGTTTCACGTAAATGCGGGTCTAAGTCTCTAAGCATCTCTATCATCGTGAGTCATGCATGACTGCATGAGCCC